ACGGTGGTTTGCGCAGTCGTGTGATCCTTTCTTGAAGATCAGAACAATGAATGATTCACTCCAGGACGCTGTTCCGACCAAATACTGTGTAGTAAACTGGAAATCGAGTCGAAGAAAGAGTCACACACACCCAGCTTGAAAGGGATGAGGGGAGTCCATCCTGTCCCCCCGCCTTCCTTTTCTTTAGCGTTTAAATAAGGCCTCATATTTCTAGCTCTGTTGGAAGTTCACACGTTACCGCTCACCGATTTTCCTATGCGGTCGTCGGAATAACCGCAAATCGAACTGTTCCCAGCGATCAAGTCATTATTCTCTATTGTGAATACCGTATCCACTTTTATCGCAAGCGGTTTCGCCGACCGGTATGCAACGATCCTTTTGCTGCGTTCCAGTGTAACAGTCTTTGAGTATTCCCTGATGCATGAGCTACCTTCATTTAACCAGTCATTTCGACTCACCAGTTTTCGCGATGTTTCTTGAGGCTTTTCTCAAGCCGACGTTCCAGACGCCATATGTTCCTATGCTGCTTTCGCTTTTGTTCCATCAGGACTACTGACTGCTGGGAGATTTAGTCGCGCCGAAGAACTTCGGGCTCCGCCCTACAAGCAATGTTTGCTACCGAATGCGTCGTAAATCAAATTCGTTCTATGACGTAATATCGCAGTGCTCCTAGCTCCTGTTTAAGGTTCTCGTATTATTCACAAATATCTGGATCGCGCGGACGATGATGAGCTAACTGAGGAGGTGAGGTTTACCGATATCCGATGAGTCGAAGCTGCGAAGCTTATCAGAACCAGTGTGTGATCAAACTCAACACTGGTGACTCAATAGGTTGGTACCAAACCACACCAACAGCAGCAGAGCTATTTAGCTGATTTTGGTCAACTTGTCCGTGGAACCACAACACCATTTAGCCGTCCGAAGAAAGCTGTTCCGACATTAGGTGCTTGACAAGAACAATCGGTGCTCTGCGCATAACTGAAGTAATCGATCGCAGTTGTCTGTTTACTGGGCGAGATGTGCAGAGCGTTTCCCTAGACGGGCTCCGGATGCGCTCAGTTTTCCAACCGGTATGTTGGATCAATCTGTCGTCAGCACTATAGTACCAATACTGCGGCTCAACCGAATGAGTTCGGTGAGTTTGTCGTAAAATATGTCCTAACGATCAAGTGACGTGCCAAGCTCGAAGTCAACAGAAGAGAAGACTGTCGTGAAATTCGGTACAGTTATGAGCAGCATTTGGTTAATATCGAATTGATACAAGCCTCGAATCGTGAGGCAAATCGGAGAGTGTCCACCTGCACTGTCAAAACACAATCAGGTGATAGTACGCCTTCAATACAGAAGTTGGGGTTTACATTTATAACAACATACCATAATCAAAGTCACAGTTTTATGGGCGATTTAACAAATCTAAAGCTTATCATGCCCCATAAGATTTTTACAGAATACTTTGAATAACTTCACAAAGAGAAAGTGATAACAATAACAATAAGCATGATCCCTCACTGATGTCGAAATTTTAAGTGTTCCAATGCTTTATCAAGTTACGATTTAAATAGTTCAACCGTAGGAGCACATTACATCGGATGGAAGAGAATTCCGTACGCCGCACACTCTGACTGCAGACGAGTAATGCCGGCAATCAAGGTGGCTGCTCTGGGTCTTCAACTTCAGTGGATATCCCCTGAGGGGCTCATGATGAGATAAAGTCCGTATAGAACGGCAAGGGTGGTTGGGTTGATGCAGTATGTGATATCTCAAGATTAGGTCCACCCAAAGTCGGTGGTACTGAGATGAGTAGAGTCTTGTCTTGTTATGCAGACCTTTTATCAATTTTGTTGCCAACCTTTGCGGCCATTCTAGAGCCTTCTTGTCACCGTTCGACCATGGATTCCATACTTGAACGGTGTACTCCGTGTGTGGCCGAACGAACGCTGATAGCAAGAGTGGGAACAGTGCTCTTTCGAACTACCCGAAAACAGTTTTGAGTAATCCAAATTGCTTTAGAGCCATGGATTATGCTCTGGAACAGTGCGTGGGATATCCTACGTCCTCCTGTACCATGACTTCCAAATCCCTTTCGTCAGTGGCATGCGGTGGTATTTGGTTCCCCAGACCATTGGAGAAACGGGTCTTGTGCCACATGGAAATAACTACATTTGGAAACGTTGAACTCGATGTCAGTGGCGATTGACCATCGGTGGGCTGCATCGATCGTTTGTTTAAGTGCTATATAATCCTCTGGATGTGTTACAGTTCTCCAGATCTTAGCGTCGCCCGCAAATAGCAGTGTATTAGCTCCAAGGACATGTGGCAGATCGTTTATAAATGTAAGAAGAGACGAGGTCCCAGTATGGATCCTTGAGGAACCCCTCGGGCAGCGGTGATTGGCTCTGATAATGAATCACCAACACGAACTGACATGGTTCTTTGTCGGAGAAACCGTTTGATCCATTCCCTAACCAAACTTCTTACTTCGTAATTGTAGGATTTTCTCAGTAGAATTTGGTGGTTTACTCGATTAAATGCTCTGGAGAAGTCCAACTAAACTATATCCAATTGCTGGCCTGCATCGACGGATTTTGTCCACTGATCTGGTGCAAGAAGTAGGTTTGTAGTGCAGAAACTCTTGAGCCGAAATCCGTGCTAACTTGGAGATAAAATCTCATGCTTCTCCAGATATTCCATCAACAGATCTGCCACAATGGCCTCTATGACTGTCGACAGTATCGGTAGTTGGCGGGATCACTGCGAGAACCCCCTTTGTAAATGGGTGAAATCACCCCTTCCTTCCATAAATGCGGAATTACCGCCTTATTGAACATCCTCTGGTAATGAATAACCAGAGGTTCGGATGTGTCATCGGCTAGCGGGATCAGAGTCCGGTGACGCATCAGAGCTGACCTCAGCTCATGCCACAAGGGGTGTAAATTAGCCACTCAAGCCTCAGAGCGAAGATAACCTGTTGCTGTTTTTGAGTCAGGTCTCTCTGTTTAGTTCAATTTCGGTTGTCACGGCCACACACACACAGCTATGCGGTCGTGACCACAGCTTTCAGATGGAATTTGTGAATAAATACCTACTAATGGGCTTGATCATTTGAGTGTGCCGGTTGGGGTGTCGGATGGACGGGATGGTGTTGCATCAGGCAATTCACCCGATCGGAAGCACCGCTTGCTAAACAATTCAGCTATGTATCATTTGCATTTCTATCGGACTAAGCTGGGTCCAATGACAAACCAGGGGCACAACTCAAAATCCCATTTATCTCCCCCGTCCTTCTGGATAGGGTATCCATTTGGCGGAGGAGAGTCGGCTGGTTTGAAGTCCAAAGCATATTCATATTATTTTTCAAATCCACCATGGTAACTCGATTTTTTCCTGATCCACTTGTGTTCGTCTGAACCGATTTGGTCTGAAGTCGAAGCACTTTGCATGTTCTCCCAGTTCAAGCGGTCTTTTGTCCCTTTTGGAGACTCAGACATGTGATTTCTTTTCACGTGCGTCAGATGCACAGATGATTCACAGGCGGGAGTGAGGGTGTTCGTTGCCATCATGCTCAGCCACTTGACTCAGTTTTATCGGAACCATAGCTGAATCACAAGGTAGATTGATAGCCATTCAAATCAGTTTTATATGCGGTCTAAGTAATCGCGATTAGTTGATTCGGCTTTCCGGAAACATTCCGTTGAGAAGTTTGCTTATTATTTCGATTTCTCATTTTCACGCATGAGATTTTCGATACACTTTTATCCTCGATTGAGTTAGGAGGCCTCAGACTTATATTGCCATGGCAACTGTCTCGACTGGGGGTCACGTTTTACCAAATCAATTCTACTATTCAAACGGCATGTACGTGGAAAATCATTAGTCGAATGGTGAAAAAAAGTTATTTTTCCGTAATTCATCAACTACATTCAATATTGTTTAATCCAGTACGAAGTGGATTTTATTACGCTATGTACACGTACACATTCGGATCGAGCCTCATTGGTTAGGGTATTCGCCCAGTTACCACACCCGATATGTATATGCAGCAACAAATAAAGAACAACCTTCATGGCACGAAATAAAATGGGCTGATATTGGTTGAATAGTACAGTGAAGAAAGATTTCAGTCACCAGAAAGAATGAGAATCCGAAGCTCGAAGGGTCAGAGATGAAGAAACAGAATGAGTCCATCGACATTACGAAGGGAGAAGTGTTCTATTACAATATAGAGAGCTTTTTGGTTTGAATGAAAAAGTGAACTGGATCATCACATTAACAGAACTATGAGTGGCTCCAAGTACCCGAAGTTATTAGGTGAGCAGTGAGAGGAGTGGTCAGAACAGACCAACCTCCCAGGACGTCAATATTCAAACATTTGTGATCATATCATACCATATTCGCTCATTGGACTTCATGTCAAGGACACCAATGTACTTCCCACTTGAGCCACACTGATCAGGCGCTTGCTAACGGTTCTCGTGCATTTATACCACACCTGTTTCACGCTCATTGTGAAGAACCGAAAAAAGACAAAAAAGGAACGATTCTTGCTCAAACATCTGGGTGTCCTTCTTTGTAATCTTCCGTTTGTCACAGAAGGTGTACCATCGCCAGAGATACGATGAAGCGTGCCAAAGCCGAATGAGTACCAGTGACTTTCATCAGGTTGTGCTACTTTTGGGATTTTGGACATAATTCCGATTAATGAACGGCTGAACTGATGACTGATTATCTCCGGTTGAGTCGAATTTTTATTTTTCCCCGTCAACATTGCACATTTATTGATACATTGATAATTTGTCTATTTGGTGGACTGGTTGGACACTGGATAGAACTTGAGTTTTAATGTGCCAGATTTTACTGCAACTCAAAAGCCTTCACAATAGGCGAGGCTGGCATGTGATTTGAAACACCGAAAAGCTGGATAGTTTTCAGTGCATGCGTGAAAACTATTTACATTTTACGTGGAAGACTTTTGTGCTACCCTCGTGTCCTCAGTGCTCATTATGAATCTGGTAGGTTATATGCTATGAACCTTCATAAACGTTACACACACTCAGAGATGCTAGTGATAATAATTAATATATAAATCAGCGGTGGTAAAAAAAAACAGTCTGTTTTATACTACCCATCTTAAATAGCGAACATCATTAGATCGGTTATAGGTTGTTATATTGACGGTTGTGAATAGAATTGAGACTGCAATCTCCGCAATTCGGAATTGTACTTCTTCTTTTTCTCTCTCTCTATCTATCTCTCCCCGTCAGTCAAATGAACTTCTCTGGGGCCCGTCGTTGATTCGTTCGGTTCATCGGTTCTGTAACTGGGCGATGACGAACTATTATGTGCGGTATAATTACGACCACGCGCTATTTCTCTCTCGCAATATTGTTCAAGCTGCCGGTAAGTTGTTGTTGTTGGTGTTCATATGCCTGCACTTGATTAGCCCGTATCTATACACATTGCTGTTTCCTGAAACCCGTGCCCATCTTTCTTTCTCTTACTGCACGCATCTCAGCAGAACCGCGATATGAATTGTTTTTTGTTTGTTTTTTTCTTCGTCCCAGTAAGGGGAGAGATTCGTGAACTCCGTTTGAAGATGTTCTAACTTGACCCAGATCACGTCGGATTGAATTGATGCATGATCGTATGACATGCACTACACGTGGCCATTCGTTAACGCCTGTAGATTGTTCATCATGATCGGATCAATCGTATCGATTAGGCCTCACAATGGACTATAGTTTAATGTTCCATTTAGTGAGAGGAAGACAGGGACGGAACAGTTTAGTTTGCATTTAAACCTGGTAAGCCAATATTTGGTATCATTTCAATATGTGATATTTAGAATAACAATACGGGTGAGATACACGTCAAAACACAAGGTTAGTCACGAATTCAGATATTGGCTAAACAAAAGCACATAAATTAAAGGACAATTGGATGGTTGTAATCCATAGCTATAGAGTGTTTGATAGAGTAAAATAAAAGTTTTATTTGATTATACGCAAATTGTAAAGCTGATACTCTTCCGATGCGTTTTGTTTGCCAAACAAGCACCGAATCTAGTCCCACGATGAGTGTCTGAACGATCCCTGTCAAAAGCAGCCGCCAACAGTGAAATCGCTTGGAAATATTTGTGATGATCGACAAAGAGCACTCGACAGCTGTTTTTTCCTGTTCACTTCAGTTCAGTTCAGTTCAAACAACCATTAAGCATGCATTTCAGTTCGACGCCTTTGGTTGCTGTCTTTTGGCTTCGTCCTGTTCGACCTGCTCGTCAGTAGTGTGCACTTTTTGCATCCCTGTCGGAACCGTGAACATCCGGTGCCTCTGAATAGTCGCATGGACCAGTCCAAACTTGGTACTATAAAGTGTTACCGTTTATTGGTAGAGACAAGGAAAATGCCTTCATTAAAGGCGAACCGTGCTGTATTTCAAGGGTTGCTCATCTTGTAGATTTTTCTGGAATGGAAGCTACGAGAGCGCCGATGAAGGGAATGGACAAATCAGGTTGCCGTATTCTATCCGTTAGCCTGGCACCCATGCATCCAGTATCATCGAGAAAACGCGCGCAACTTTCAAATGCTTACCATGGGAATTCTCAGGGGAATTGTAGGCTTGTCGGGACAATAATGTGGTGATCCAGACATACGTGACCGCATTCCAAGTACGACCGGGTACAGCTTTGTTATCTAATCAAAGTTCAGGCAGCCGGACCAATGGTACACCGGGCGAACATTACATCCGAGTTAGTACATGCGATGCGTTTGCGCAAACGGTTACGTGATTGGACGATGGTGCTTCAATAACTGATACGAACTATTGCTTTTCTGTAAATCATGCTCTATTTCTATGGACAAACTTTTGCACTTGCTGCTACCAATTCTGCGGGTATCTGATTGGTGTCCGAAGTTTGGTTGGAGCCAATCCAGTTCTCAGTATTACAGTACGGGTTCTCATATTCCTACCATTCTGATCACCTCAAATAACCCACACGGTATTCATCGAATTTGTTTAGATAACGGGGAAAATGTGATGATAAATGATATCAACGTGCATTTACGTGTGATAGACAACCAAGAGTCGAATCCAGATAAACCCCGGATAATAAGCAGCACGGGAACACGAAGATCGAATGTGGTGAACGAGTGAGCACACGCAAATTTGCCATGCTTGATATCTACCTGATTTCCGTGGTTTGGTTCACAAAAAGAAACGTATTCATAGATGATCCTGACTGCTTGATTTGAATGAAAACCGACCGCGCTGTCGAGAAGTTGATAGTCTCCAGATGAACAGTATTTCTCTACTACCAACAACATGCAAATTGGCAGATGGATGCCTTTAACCCGATTTAGTGTGTGTGCCGACGGTCACTTCGCATAGGTTAACAGACTCATTGGCGAGACGGTCGCGTAGCTGAGCGCCGCTTCGGCTGTCTCCTTTATTCTTCATCCATTATACCTCACCCCTTGAATGATCATATCAGTTTGATTGATGCTGTCCATTAATAGAAAAAAAGAACGAGGGAATAAAAAAGTGTTAAACGTTTAATTTACGACAATGGGTATGATTAATTGAATACACATAAAATATTGAAAGTTGGAATATCATTGAGATGATCAATGCAAACACAAGTTTCAAATCTGCCAAACAACAAAATTTAAACAAACAACCCTTCCTTAGGAGTTCATTCTAGGAAAAATCTGCCGGGTGGCAGTCAGCTGACATGACACTTGATGAATTTTCTGTATGTTATTCGAATGTGAAACGATCATTACTATCAGTATGTACTCGTAGCTCCAGAGGTTAAACACGCGGCATCCACGCATGGGTTCAAATCCCTCCGAGGCTGCTGAACTTTTCCCAATTAAAAAAAAAACTATCAAACAATACAATCAAACAGTACTAAACATCATCAAAGATCTTTGTGCAGCTTAGTACTACTCACTCATTTATGAAATAGGATGGGATGGATGCCTATAGACATTTTATCATCTCGATTGCAATGTGTGTTTGCTTATTTGTCAATATGCATTCTATCCCTGTCCAATTCAGGTATTTCTCCTTTGAGTCAAATGTGCCAAATGCAGTACTCGTGTACGCTGGCCGAGGACAGCGGATTCTTCTCCGCCTACCCGATTGCTCATGAAATGATGCACAGGTGAGTCACATTGTGAACGTATTTTGATCGTGAAACGGACGGATGTAGTGTTGACGTCAGCAGCAAGCTACTGGGGTTCCAGCTCGAATGGTTCGTGCCTCGGGCTACTAGGAGGCATCTCGTGCCCCCCTATCTCGAAAACCGCGGTGACTATGTACTGCTAATGGTTTCTAACATGCTAATCAAACTAAAGCTTCGAAATGTGTTCCGAAGCGTTTCACCGCTGAGCTACAAGCACCGCCCTCAGTTCGTGTCACAGGAACCATCTCAAATTGCTCTTTCACACTATCTCATCTGCAATGCGTGATTAGGTTTGGTACAAATTAGCCGCGTTTTTGCATACACTCACCAAGATCCACCATTGCAATACAAAATGAACTAACCTAGAGCTGAAATCTTATAGAGTACTACGATTAGAATCCAGGAGGCATTTCTATTATTATAGAATTGATATCGGGAAATCGATAGTAGATAAATTTTAGTGCTTTCATTGCGTTGATCACCCGTAATTTACTGGAACAAAAACTCAGGGGCAATTCCATCACTCATAAATTCCTGTCACATATCAATCACGGATAGAAAAAATTCGTTTGGACAGTATCGATGTTAAATTGCTGAACTAATATGATCAAGTCACAGTGGGTAAATGAGACGAAATAAGGTGAAGTATTCGCTATTTTGTATGTGAAACTAAACGACCATCCTTCGGTCAATTTGGTAACTCCTCTTCCTCTCTTTGTGTCACACACACATACACACCTTGCTTGCACTTCAGTCTCGGAGTGGAACACGATGGTGAGGGAAACGGTTGCGATGCTTCCGGTGTGACAGGGAATATCATGGCTCCACTGATTCTGTCCGCAAGTCACAATCATCATTGGAGCGACTGCACTCGACTGGTGCTCAAAGCCGGCCTGAGGTAAGGACCATATTTAAGTCTCCAGTTGGCCCACTGGTAAAGTGTATTTTTGATTGAACAAAATTCATTAACTAATTTCTCCTGTTTTATCAAAATCACCCCTTTTCTCCCGAACGGTACACAACTGGTGGAAATGGGATGAAAGCTTTTTAATACTGGTTTGAAATAAACTTAAACAGTGGTTTCCGGTGTGTTGCGCAATATATATACGGTGAATTATCAAACATTCTGAGACAACTCCTAAAAAATGGCTGCTAGCTTTGTGAAATCTATTTGATTAAATGCATCAGTTTTGAGCACGGATTCAAAATATAACAACACATGAGTAAATCGGAGCAATTGTGATAACCATGTCAATAATTAGAGATGTAAGGGATAGAAGAGAAAAGAGAAGTAGAACAGACCGAATAAGGAGGAGGACGGCGACGATGAAGAAGAAGGACGATAGCAGGAAGAAGAAGCAGATCAGGACGGAGAAAAAGGGGCAACAAAAAGGAGGTGGGAAATTGATAAAGAAAATGAAGAGGAGGGACGAAGAAGAAAGAAGAGGAAGAGCAAGAAGAATATGATGGGTGGTGGAGAAGAACAGTAAGGTGAAGAATGAAGTATGAGAAAATTTGACTGTATTTGTTTTGATCAATGCTTCCGGATTCATCTCATCTTTCTAATGAAGCACGATTATGTGGGATCGTGTACGTATGCAGCACACCAAACAACGCTAACTATTGAAGAATAGACTCCTAATAGATGATGCACCACGTGGATTTTGGTGTTCATTTATGCAGTGTTGTGTTTGATGGAAAA